TGGGTGGTGGCCTGTAAGGGCATATTTATCCCTCAAGTGTTTTGGTGATTGATGACAATGCATTTGTGGACTAATCGTGTGCCTTGAGTTTCTCAGATACTTCATCTCTAGGCACGAGACGATTCGGTGCCCCTCAGAGACTATTGAAGTCGGCGTTGTCCTACGTTTCTCTTTGGTGGATTTGAGTCGTAGGAGAGCCGTACTATTAAGAGGGGGTCCGCGTCGGAAAGGTTTGGGTGGAATCAACACGTACACTTGTTCCTCCTTTCCCTGCTTCTTGGAGCCTCCCTTCGTTATCTTGGTTGTGCGGAAAACTGACGACTACTGCTGTACTTACCGCAAGTACAAGTGGTAGTACCGTTGTGTGTCACGGTAGTACCGCTCATCTGGAGCGGTAGTACCGCGGCTCCCAGGCCTTGTGCCGCTCCGGTGCGGTAGTAGGGGCGGATGTAATTTTTTACATCCGCGCCCTCCACGGTAGTACCGCTCATCCAGCGCGGAAGTACCGCGGGGGCCCACGGTAGTACCGCTCCCTAGGAGTCGTAGTACCGTGGCCCTCCTACCTAGTACCGCAGTGTCACGGTAGTAGGCGCGGATGTAATTTTTTACATCCGCGCCCGCAATGGTAGTACCGCGCCTCGCGAGCGGTAGTACCGCGTCGGATTTTTGTACCACCTCAGTGTCAGCGGAAGTAGGCACGGATGTAATTTATTTCATCCGCGCCCTTCCCAGACCGTGACTTTCCTTCCTTGCGGTAGTACCACAAGTGGGTGCGGTAGTACCGCGCAAGCGGTAGTACTGCCCCCTTGTCAGTCTAGTTCCGTCCTGTGCTGCTGTCGCGGTAGTACTGTGGTCAGCCACGGTAGTACCGCACAGCCTCGCGGTAGTACCGCGCCCCTGGAGCGGTAGTACCGTGTGTCGCGGGCTGAACATGTGGATAACGGTTGGATTTTTTCCCACGACTATATAAGGGGTGTCTTCTACCTCTAGTTGACCTCCTCTTCCACCTCTAAGCTCCATTGTTGCTCCAAGCTCCATTTTCGCTCGATCTCTCTCCCTAGCCAATCAAACTTGTTGATTTGCTCGGGATTGGGTGACAAGGGCCCGATCTACACTTCCACCACAGGATATTTGATTCCCCCCACTTATCCCTTGCGGATCTTGTTACTCTTGGGTGTTGAGCACCCTAGACGGTTGAGGTCACCTCGAAGCCATACTCCATTGTGGTGAAGCTTCGCGGTATTGTTGGGAGCCTCCAAGTGTTGTGGAGATAGCCCCAATCTTGTTTGTAAAGGTCCGGTTGCCGCCTTCAAGGGCTCCAATAGTGGAATCACGGCATCTCGCATTGTGTGAGGGCGTGAGGAGATTACGGTGGCCCTAGTGGCTTCTTGGGGAGCATTGTGCCTCCACACCGCTCTAACGGAGACGTACTTCCCCTTAAAAGGAAGGAACCTCCGTAACACTTCCTCGTCTCCACCGGCTCCACTCTTGGTTATCTTGTCCCTTTACTTTTGCAAGCTTACTTGTGCTATATCCATTGCTTGCTTGTGTGCTTATTGTCTTTGCATCATATAGGTTGTCCACGTAGTTGCACATCTAGACCACCTATTTCATTGCAAGGTTTAAATTGTTAAAGAAAAGTCTAAAAAGTGTTAGTTGCCTATTCACCCCCCTCTAGTCAACCATATCGATCCTTTCATGGCCGATTGGCGAGCCACTGCGTGTCTCACCCATCGCTGAAGCCTCGACCGACCAGAGCGCTTGCGCTGGCGGGAGACAGGGAGGGAGGACGGCACAGGAGTCGACCAGTATGGGGTCGACGGCTGCCACAGCATGACGCCGAGGACACACGCCCGAAAGTGCGTCGCACCGCGAACGGGGAGCGCGTCGATGTCGAGTGGTGCCTCCTGGAGCCAAGCGGAGTCGTCGGCGATGAAAGCGAGCGCACCGAGATGGATCTTGCGGCCCTCGACCAGAGCTCCGCCAGAAACCATGATGAAGGCAATCGGGCAAATTGCAACTTCTCCAAAAAGTCGCTAAGACACCTGCCCCACGGTGGGCGCCAACTGTCGTGGTTCTAAGTCTGACAGTAGAATGGGGGTAGGTATGGAGAGGCAAGATCCTAGCTATGGAGTAGTTGTACACACGAGTGTTTTACGAGTTCAGGCCCTTCTCGGAGGAAGTAATAGCCTTACGTCTCGGAGCCCGGAGGCGGTCGACTGGTTTATGTGTATATGAGTTACAGGGGTGCGAACCCCTTACACTGAGGAGGGGGGTGGCTTATATAGAGTTCGCCAGACCCCTTCGGTCCTCAGTTATGCAGGGTTTAAAGTACATTAAGATAGGGGGTTACTGGTAACGCCCTCATAAAGTGCCATGAAGACTATTAAAGCTACTTAATGATAGACCGTTGTGTGCTGAGTGACTTTAGGTCTCCTGGCCGTCGAGTGGTTAGCTTCATGATCGAGTGGCTATCTTCATCGTCGAGTGTCCTTGAGTTCGTCGAGTGAAGTCCCTCTTGGTCGACTGGAAGGTAACTTCTTCTAAGGATGTCCTTGGGTAGGGTATCCTAGATAGGTCCATGACCCTACCCTAGGTACATGACTTCATCACACGCGAGATGCCACTGCTCGTCTGCTACAGTGATCACTCGTCCCAACTACTTCCTCTGTATCATAACGTCTTACATTATGGGACGAAGGAAGTAGTCCTTTTTTAGAAAACCTATGATTTATTCATCTCTAATCATGATAATACAACAAACAACAGAAATAATAAAAGTTTCTTCCAGATTCATTGACCACGTAGCGACGACTACAAAAACCGATGAAAACCGAAAGCGCGCGGCCGTCATCGCCCCTAAACAGTCGAAAAATTGTCGGCCTCACAGGACCAACTCACCGGAACAACAATCGTCGCCGATAAAGAGTAGCGTAGATATGAAAAATCAAATTAAAAACACACGAATCGTAGATGAACGATGAAATATCCGAGCGGATCCTAGTTAGCATTACATGCATGCGTGCCACGCACACGCAAAAATAAACCGGTCACAAGTCTCAAAACTACATCTGGCATTATAGTACGCGCTCTCAGAAAAAAGAAAAGAGAAGATCTCCGATCGTATCGTACGTACGTCGACGCAAAGCACAACGTGCTCAGAATTCGGATCGATCACATGCCATGCATGCGACCGCGAGCCAACCCACGTATACGTTATCACAAGCATATGCGTACAGTCCCAACTACTCAATGCCTCGCGCTCCATATGTGCATGCCTCATGCCAGCCTAAACAATTTATCAGCGGTACAGATCGTACGTACTGCCACATCTATCAAGAACGGAATTTTTTGGAGTCATAGCAAAATCATGTGCGCGCGCAAGCATCCATGCATGCATTAACAATCTTATTTTTTTTTCAGGTTAACATACGCATGGCAAGTTTTTAGAATGAAAATAACTAAAGGAATCGGTAAAAAGGGAAAGGATTCAACAATTTTTCGCTATGAATTTTGAATGAAAATATTAGTCCCATGTGGTTTTTAAAATTCCTAACTCGGAATGAAGACAGAAATTTAGGATGGAAACAATTCAAGAATTAGGAAGATACATGTGACATGAGGAAGAACTTGTTGGAGATTCCTTGCCATAAATCCATGGCGTGTGCTTGCCCATTCAAGAATTAGGAAGATTCCAATTCTTTTTGTATGGCTCAGTTGCATCTGATTGATCGATCCCTAGTCACTGATTACATGCATGAGTTCTTTGATTCACTACTGACTTCTTCTGTGGAGCCAAGTTCGCTGACTGAGACTACTTGAAAAGAATTTTTGACAAACCGATCTCACGACGATGAGTCACCCACATAACAAAAAATGCCCCGCACATGACCAGTACCTTCAACTGCTGCACAAAGCATTGCCGAAGGCTAGCATCGCGCCGTCTCTCCAGTGGCGGACGCAGGGACTTACAAGAGCCATGGCCGCGCCCATCATCCACATTTGCGTATATATGTGCTTATTTTGTCAACTTAACCTCTAAGTTCAGGGGCAGAGCTACGATTGGGACCAACCTGGGCCTTGACCCCCAGTCCAGTACAAAATAGGGATAATTTCTTTGCCTGGCCCGCCCAACTATTAGCTTGAAGCTCCGCCACTCTCTAAGATCATAGGGAAAATGCATGTATTAGTATAATTTGGCTCTTGTTATCAAAAGTTTGACTCATTGTCCCCTCCACCGATCTTAGATTCCTGGCTCAACCACTGTAGGCAGCGAGTAGTGGCGGAGCTAGAGGGTGGCGGCTTACCCTGATTTTTTCCGGTAGTCTTTACTTCAGACAAAAAGTCTTAAAAGTCATAAATAATTTGAATTTATATTAACATTATCATTGTTGGCCCACCCTCACCCATTGTGGTGAATCCCCCCGTTAGCGGCGAGGGACAAGAATGAGAATACGAAGTGGCGAGAGCTCGAACCGGGACGCTTCCCTTGTGTCCTATCCAAACTGGAAACACTGAGTTTTGTTTAGTTGGTGATAAAACCCATCATAAGGAATGGCTAAAGTTGAGGGGTTGTATTACGAAAAAACACACGAATCTTAAAGCCAAATGGAGAGCTAAATAGCCCGGAGGACGCAGGTTTGGACTTGCATTTTTTTTTTTGCGGTAATGTTAACTGGTTGATGTTCACTTGGATGAGATCCAAATCCAAAGGATGACAGTTGTTGACCAAAATTGCACAAAAATAAAGAACTGCCATGTTTTTTTCTGAAAACTGCCATCACCCCTTAAATATGCCATCCGCATTCGCAAATGCCATGCGTGGCAGCGAACGTTCGCTCGCTGGGAATCAGTATCTTTTTTTTGGAAGAGGAGCTACAATTAATAAACTGAACTGAACTGAACCAGAACGCCTATATAAAGAGAGGAGAGCACCACCCGTTTACTCACACACACACCACAACCAGTACTAGATCCACAAGCCAGCTGAAAGGAAGAAGATGATGAGCAACAAGGCCCTCACACTCGGCGCGGTCGTCGTCCTCGCCTTCGCCATGGCGGGCGCGCACGCCGAGCAGTGCGGCCACGCGGCCGACGGCATGGAGTGCCCCAACAACCTCTGCTGCAGCGCGTGGGGGTACTGCGGCATGGACGCCAACTACTGCGGCGATGGCTGCCAGAGCGGCGCCTGCTACGAGCCCAAACGCTGCGGCGCCCAGGCCGGGGCGAACGCGGTGACGTGCCCCAACAACCACTGCTGCAGCGGCGACGGGTTCTGCGGCTACGGCCAGGAGTACTGCGGCGCCGGCTGCCAGAACGGGCCCTGCCGCGCCAACATCAAGTGCAGCGCCGACAAGCCGTGCCTGAGCAACTTCTGCTGCAGCCAGTACGGATACTGCGGGCTCGGCGTCGAGTTCTGCGGCCAGGGCTGCCAGAGCGGCGCCTGCCATGACGCCGTTGGTGCCGCCGCCCTGCCGCTCAGCTCCATAGTGCAGGGGTGATCTTGAACTGCATATGGCTACTAGTATTGCGACGGGATCAGGTGAGGGGATGAGTTGTGCCAATGTCGATCGTTGCCACGTCTTCTTCACCGGCTAGTTTGCGTTTTCTTCGTCTTTACAATCGTTCCCATCATGCATGCACGCATGCATGATTAGCGTTTGGGAACCAAAAATAATGCGCGTGCGGCATCATGCATGCATGCGTCGTCCTTGTAATCTTTGTAATCCAATAAATCTGAATCTCGTCGCAATTGACGGAGTGTGTACTGTGTTATCTTTAGGCTAATCTCTGTTCGAGAAGCCGAGGTTAACCAAAGCACCTCACAACCTCAAAGTCTGTTATCACAGGATCTGAATCACACACGCGAATTGTGGATGAACATACAGAGACGAGGACACTGTGTTTTTGCGTTGCGTTCAGTCTGCAACTTTTCTCATCGTTTTTCTTCTCTTATTCAGAATTACAAGTAAAGGGTGAAACCCCACGATCCGTGAGTCTCGCGCCATCCCACGAGCGGCATCGTGTGTCCACAGGAATCGGTCCTGGATCGTTAGGCGATGACCAAGACAACTAATTCTATCTGAAACTGTCTACTGAAAAAACTGAACTAACCTGCAGCTGTCAACGACAACAGCGTGACGAGCTACAGTGCAGAATACAGAGATAAAAAAAACTAGAACAGAGAATGCACAAGGATTATTCAACATTCACTCCCTAAGACTTGTGCATCTTGATAACCTCCACCATACCGATCTTTGCTCGCTGCTCCTGGAGTTTGCCACGGCCAAGTGCTTTGGTAAGCAAATCAGCCATATGCTCTTCACTTCTCATGAACTCGACCTGTATCTTCCCATTTTCCACACACTCCCTAATATAATGATACTTGATATCAATGTGTTTGCTTCGCTCGTGGAAAACAGGGTTCTTGCAAAGTGACATTGCTAATTTGTTGTCCATATTGAGCACCACTGATCTCAGTGCTTCTACCTTGATCTCACTGAGGAGGCGTGCCAGCCACACACCTTGACAGACTGCTGCTGTTGCAGCAACATATTCAGCCTCACACGAGGAGAGGGTTACAATGCTCTGCTCCTTTGATTGCCAGCTCACAAGATTGCTTCCAAGAAAGAACATGAGGCCTGTGGTGCTTCTGCGCGTATCAATGCATCCTCCAAGATCGCTGTCACAATATCCAATCAAGGGAGCATCAACTGCGCCACGGGAGTAGTGCACTCCCCAATTCAGAGTTCCTGCAATATAGCGCAGGATATGCTTCACTGCTGCCAAGTGTTCCATGGTAGGTGCCTCCATGAACCTTGACACAAACCCAACTGAGGATGTGACATCCGGCCTTGTGTGAATGAGATAACGCAGCATCCCTACTATGCTTCTGAATTCAGTTGTATCAACTTGTTGTGCAGAACTGACCTTGCTCAACTTAAATCTGGGCTCCATGGGCACAGGGTAGGGATTACAACCAGTCATGTCAGCTCTCTCAAGTATCTTGGCAGCATAACCAGCCCGACAGAGATCAATTCCACCACTGTGCTAATGAACCTCTATCCCCAGATAATAATTCAGATGTCCTAGATCACTCATTTTGAACAGCATTTCCATCTCACCTTTAAACTTGCTGATCTCCTCTTCATCTGATCCAGTGATGATCAGATCATCTACATAAACCCCGACCACTAGCCGAGATTTTGCATCCCCTCTTGCATAAATTCCATGCTCGGAGGGACACCTCTTGAGTTTTAAATCAGTCAAGCAGGTGTCTAACTTGGTGTTCCAAGCTCGTGGGGCCTATTTCAGCCCATACAAGGCTTTGTCCAGCTTCAGAACCTTGCTTGTTTGCCCTGCAACGATAAACCCTGGCGGCTGTGTTACGTACACCTCTTCCTTGAGCTCGCCATTCAGAAATGCAGACTTCACATCCATGTGATGCACTGTCCAGCCCGCCCTGGCTGCCATGGCGAGAAGCAAGCACACTGACTCCATTCTTACCACTGGTGCAAAGACTTCCTCATAGTCAATGCCTTGTTTCTGCACATATCCCTTCGCCACCAAGCGTGCTTTGTGTTTCACTATTTCACCATCAGCATCCTTTTTCACCTTATAAACCCACTTCAGTCCAATCGGACGATGCCCGTGAGGTAGATCAACCAAGGTCCAGGTATGGTTAGCCTTGATCGCGGCCATTTCATCTGCCATGGCCAGCTGCCAGCACTCGTGATGCTCAGCTTCTTCAAACGTGCCTGGTTCCTGGCCAAGTACCAGACCAAGCTCATAGTCAGGGTCCTCCTCATCGTCGTCAACCTCTGGTGACTGAGGTGAGGGGGGAGTTGCAGGTGCTTCGGTGGTGTCGATGTACTCGCGGTTCGGAAGAAAGATGCTGTCTTGAGCCCTCGTCTTCATTGCGTGCACTGGCGCGACGGGCACTGGCGGAGCACGTTCTGCTCCTGAACGTGCAGGTGTGCTAGGCACAGCAGCGGGTGGTGATGTAGAGCTGCCGTGGCCTGCACTCCCTGGTCCTGGCGTCGTGGCCGTGAGTGGTGACGGCGAGCGTGCCGCGGCAGGGCTCGGCGATGTGGATGTCGTCGCCGTGGGAGAGCCACCTGACAGAGTGGACAGGGGATCGATTATGAAACTCATACCAGGCGATGCAGCCTGTGTTCCCTCCTAGTCCCATGCCTTTGCTTCCTCGAACACAACATCGCGAGACACGACAATCTTGTCCTCGTCTGGATCATAAAGGCGAAAGGCTTTGCTTCCGCTCTCGTAGCCGAAGAAGACCATGCGTTTGCTTCTATCTTCCAGCTTGTTCAGGTGAGGCCGTGTGTATTTGGCGTGCGCGACACACCCAAACACGCGGAGGATGTCGACGTTTGGCTTCCTTCCACACCAGGCCTCGAACGGTGTTTTTCCCTTCACGCTTCTGGTGTATGCGCGGTTAAGCACGAAGACAGCAGTGGATACTGCTTCGCCCCAAAAGCCAGCAGGAACTCCCATGGCCTTCAGCATGCATCTCGCCATTCCCACCACTGTCTGATTTCGCCGCTCTACCACGCCGTTCTGCTGCGGCGTGTAAGGAGCAGTGAGGTGTCGCTGGACAGCGAGATCAGCGAGATAGGCTGTGAGGTCATTCGAGTTGAATTCCCCGCCTCGATCTGTCCTGAGCGTCTTGAGCTTGCGGCCTGTTTCTCGCTCAACTCTCGCCTGGAATCTGCGAATGGACTCTGCTGCTTCATCTTTGCTATGCAACAAGGACAACCACATGTACCTGCTGTGGTCGTCCACCAGGAGGAGGAAGTACTTCCTTCCACTTGGCGTCGCCGGCGAGATCGGTCCGCACAAGTCGCCGTGAACCAGCTCCAGTGGCTCTGTGGCGCGAAACCTTGCTTGCTTCGGGAACGGGACTCGGCGCTGCTTTCCAACAAGACAGGCGTCACAGACCTGCTCATGGTGATCAATCAGAGGCATCCCGTGTACCATGCCCTGACGAGCCAACCTTGCAAGCCCGTCGAAGTGCTGATGGCCAAAGCGGGCATGCCACCTCCATGCGTCCTCGGCGGCGTGCTCAGCCAGGCACACAGGCCTGACAAGATGGAGGTGCACGACGTAGAGTCTGTTGCGCGCACGAGGTACTCTGGCGAGGACGCGTTGCTGGTGATCGCGGACGGTCATGAACCCATCCTTGACCAGCGTTGGGAAGCCGATCTCGTCTAGTTGGCCGATCGAGACGATGTTGGACTTCATTCGCGGGATCCAGTACACCTGCGTTAGGGCCCGGTGATCTTCTCCGCCCACGCTGAACAGAACCGTTCCTCGGCCACGAATTTCCACGAGGGAGCCATCACCGAACCTCACGGTGCCCGCCACTCCCTTGTCCAGCTCGGCGAATGCAGCCTTGTCGCCCGTCATGTGGTTTGACGCACTGGTGTCCAGGTACCAAGCCGGGTCGACGTCGTCAGGGGTGCTCCGGAGGACGGCGCGCGCTCGCTCTTCGTTGAGGAAGACGTGCTCGCCCGCGTCTGTGGTGGACAGCGATACCTCATGTTTCATGAACATGTCGGGATCGCCATCGGTCTCATCGGTCAAAGCCTGCACGAGATTGGCCTCTTCCCGTTTCCCCTGGTCACCACGCTCGCGCTTCGCCTTGCGGCATTCGCGCGCCTAGTGGCCTTCGAAGCCGCAGTAGTTGCACTTGCCTTTACGGCGCGGTGGGTTCCTGTTGCTGTCATTCTTGCCTCCGCCATCCCTACTCTTTGGACGGCCTTGTGGTTTCTTGCCTTTCCCGCCACCGCCGGACGATCCGCTGCCGCCGTGGTAATTTCCATCGCGGGCGCGCCACTCCTCCGCTGTGAGGAGCAGGCGCCCACCCGCATCTTGCTCCGGCGCGCCACAGCCTTCCGATGCCGCAAGGCGTCCGCTTAGCTCGTCGATGGAGAGCTCCTTGAGATCCAGAAGCGTCTCTATGGAGCACGCCATCTGGGAGTACCTAGGCGGCACGACGCGCAGAATTTTTTGCACGCCGTCGAGCTCGGAGGTGGTGTCCCCGAGAGACTGCAGCTCCGTGACCGCACTCGAGACTCGGAGAGAGAAGTCCTCGACATTCTCTCTGGCCTTAAACGCGAACGCGTCGAAATCCTTCCGCAGCTTCTGCCGGCGTGCTTCCCGCACGCGATCCACGCCGACGCGGAGCGTCTTGATCGTGTCCCAGGCCACCTTTGCAACGTCCTTGGAAGCCAAGATCTGGACCATCTCAGGCGGCACCGAGCTCAGGATGGCGCCCAGGGCCTGCCTCTCCTGCCGCTCCAGCGCGTCGCCGGTCTCGATGGCCTCCCAGAGTCCCGCGCCCTGCATCTTGACGCGCATCAGGATGGCCCACTCCATGTAGTTCGTCTTCGTGAGGATGGGCCACGAGACGGGGCCGCCGCCGGTCTCCCTCACGACGGTTTCCCTCACCACCACTTCACCGCCGCCGCCTCTCTGCGCCCTA